AGACCCTCTCCAGACCATGCCTGACTTGCTTCCCCACCCCAGGCTCCCCTTCCTTGTTCTCCCACCCAGAGCTCCCCTTCCTACCACCCATTCCCTCCCTATCCCAGGGTTTCCTTATTACCCCTCATTCCCTCCCGGCCTCCACCTACCCCCATGCTCCCTTTCATTCCTCAACCCTTTAATTCCATGTTCCCTCACCCCATGCCCTCCCTGCTTCCCCTGTCCAATGTCCTCATTGCCCCCAATCCCCAGACCCTTTCATTCTCACCTACCATCCCAGATCTTCCCAGCCACCCCCACTCAAGATCCGCCTAGTCCTCTTCCTAGACCCTCCACGCCCTCCCATCCCAGATCCTCCCTGCACCCCCCCCCCCTCTTTCCAATTCCAGACCCCCTCCCTGTCCCCCTATTTCAGGGGTATCAAATGAAAATCAGACTGGATGGAAAAAAGTCAGCTTTAAAGTAATGTGCTCAAACATAGATGGGATAACAAACAAAGGAAGTGAACTTAGGGAAGGAATGCAAGAAGAGAATCCAGATGTAATAGGACTCGCAGAAACAAATCTGTCAGGAATCATAACAAATGTGGTGGTTTCCCCAGGACTACACTATAATAAGGAAAAAGAGAGAGGGAAGGGGAGGAGGCAGAGGGGTCCTACTGATGGAAAAGGAATGGAGTTTCAAGGAGATGGTTATCCCAGGCTACGGGGGGTTCAGAGACTAAATAACAGTCACCATGACGATGGGAGGACCAAGAGTACAAATACCAGTGATATATAACCCACCAACGAATGACAGAAGACCCAAGCAAGAGTATGACAGAAACAACATGGCAGTTAATACAATATTTATCTGTTACAGTATTATTACAACCAAAGTAGTCTAGCTATTTCTGTTGCTTGGTGACTTGTGAGAGGCTGAATCCTGCTGTCAATGGTCGTGAGCAGTTTTGTTTACCATGTTCAAGACGCTGCATGAAATACATTATTTGCTTCTGAAAAACTCTCGCAAGCTGTTGTTGTTGTTGAGCCACCACACAAGTCTTTGCATTAAATGAGATTGGAAAGATATTCCAAACCAGTACTATGACAGTGAGTTATGTCCCAAACCATCCAGTACTATGAGCAGTGAGTTATGTCCCAAACCATCCAGCACTATGAGCAGTGAGTTATGTCCCAAACCAACCAGTACTATGAGCAGTGAGTTATGTCCACAAACCATCCAGTACTATGAGCAGTGAGTTATGTCCCAAACCAACCAGTACCATGAGCAGTGAGTTATGTCCCAAACCATCCAGTACTATGAGCAGTGAGTTATGTCCACAAACCATCCAGTACTATGAGCAGTGAGTTATGTCCACAAACCATCCAGTACTATGAGCAGTGAGTTATGTCCACAAACCATCCAGTACTATGAGCAGTGAGTTATGTCCTAAACCATCCAGTACTATGAGCAGTGAGTTATGTCCACAAACCATCCAGTACTATGAGCAGTGAGTTATGTCCCAAACCATCCAGTACTATGAGCAGTGAGTTATGTCCACAAACCATCCAGTACTATCAGCAGTGAGTTATGTCCACAAACCATCCAGTACTATGAGCAGTGAGTTATGTCCCAAACCATCCAGTACTATGAGCAGTGAGTTATGTCCCAAACCAACCAGTACTATGAGCAGTGAGTTATGTCCCAAACCATCCAGTACTATGAGCAGTGAGTTATGTCCCAAACCAACCAGTACTATGAGCAGTGAGTTATGTCCCAAACCATCCAGTACTATGAGCAGTGAGTTATGTCCACAAACCATCCAGTACTATGAGCAGTGAGTTATGTCCCAAACCATCCAGTACTATGAGCAGTGAGTTATGTCCCAAACCATCCAGTACTATGAGCAGTGAGTTATGTCCCAAACCATCCAGTACTATGAGCAGTGAGTTATGTCCACAAACCAATCAGTACTAGCCCCTCAGCCCCACCTTCCAAATGTTCTTAGATTAATGCAATGACCCATTTCTTACGCTTTTATCATATTTACATTTATAATTTTGAATCAAATTTGCTTCAGCTACTTCTGCATCTAACCAATTCCATTTACTGACAGCTCTAACACTGAAAAAGTTCCTTCTGATATCTCTATGACTTATTTGTGTCATCAGTTTACATCTATGACCCCTCGTTCTGCTGTTCCTAGCTGTGAACAACACTGCTTTGTCTACGTTGTCAATTCCTCTCAGAATCTTATATGTCGTTATCATGTCCCCTTATCTCTCCTTTCCTCCAGTGTGTGTTTGTGTGCTTGTGTTCTGCGATTGTGTGTTTGTTTATTTGTGTGTGTGTGCCTGTGCGTGTGTTTGTGCTTGTACTCACCTGGTTGTACTTACCTATTTGTGCTTGCGGGTGTTCAGCTTCAGCTCTTTGGTCCCGTCTTTCGCTTGTCAATCAACTGGTGGGAATTTGACATTTCAACTTCTGCGTTTATATGCTTGTGCATTTATGTAATTGAGCGCGTATGAATGTGAGGCGTTTGTGAGTTCGTGTGTTTATATGCCTGAGCGTTTATGAGAATGTGCGTTTATGTGCTTCTTCATTTGCCTGTTTGTGCGTTTGAGGGCTTGTGCATTTGTGACGATGTGTGTGTTTGTGTTTGAGCACTTACTCGTTTGTGTGCATGTGCGTTTGTACTCACCTAGTTGTCCTTGCGGGGGTTGAGCTCTGCTCTTTCGGCCCGCCTCTCAACTGTCAATCAACTGTAACTATGGCCCCCCCCCCCCCACACACACACACACACAGAAAGCAGCTCCTTAACAGCTGTCTAACTCCCAGGTACCTATTTACTGCAAGGTAACAGGGGGCATCAGGGTGAAAGAAACTTTGTTCATTTGTTTCTGTCTGGTCCGGGAATCGTACCCGGGCCACAGAATTACGAGCCCTGCGCGCTGTCAGCTCAGCTACCAGACACCCGTTTGTCTGCATGTGCATTGTGCGTTTGTGTGCATGTGCGTTTATGTGCATGTGCTTGTGTACTTCGGTGTTTGTACTCACCTAGTTGTCCTTGCAGTCGTTGAGCTTTGTCTCTTTGGTCCCGCCTCTCAACTGTCAATCAACTGGTGCACAGTTTCCTGAGCCTACTGGGCTCTATCATATCTACACTTGAAACTGTGCATTGAGTCAGCCTCCACCACATCACTGCCTCTCTGTTAACCACTCTGACACTGAAACAATTGTTTCTAATGTCTCTGTGCCTCATTCGGGTACTCGGTTTCCACCTGTGTCCCCTTGTTCGTGTTCTGCCAATGCTAAATAGTTTGTCTTTGTTCACCGTGTCAACTACTCTGGGAATTTTGTAGATCGCAATCATGTCTCTTATTATTTAGTCTTCCTGGGACGTGAGGTTTAGTACCCATAGCTTTTCCTCGTAACTCATACCTCTCAGTTCTGGGTCTAATCTGGTGGCATACCTCTGAATCTTCTCTAACTTTGTCTTGTTTTTAATTAGGTATGAACTCCAGGATTGGTCTGACACATGTGGTTATCTTGAGGTTATCTTGAGATGATTTCGGGGCTTTAGTGTCCCCGCGGCCCGGTCCTCGACCAGGCCTCCACCCCCAGGAAGCAGCCCGTGACAGCTGACTTAACTCCAAGGTACCTATTTACTGCTAGGTAACAGGGGCATTCAGGGTGAAAGAAACTTTTGCCCATTTGTTTCTGCCTCGTGCGGGAATCGAACCCGCGCCACAGAATTACAAGTCCTGCGCGCTATCCACCAGGCTACGAGGCCCCTGGTATACATGGTTATGAATGATTCCTTACACAAGTGTCTAAAGACTGTTCTTATTTAGGCTGTTATGACCCCATCGTAACCAGTTCCAACTAGATGCGCTTGGCCCATACTTATAGACATTCATTTACTGTAATACAAATTTCTTTACCATTATACTACTACAGTGTATATATTAATGTATGAATGTATTTAAATTTCACCATGAACACAGGTATTATGTTGATATATAATATTTCATTATGTTGTTCTTGAGTAGTTGAACTATTTGTACAATTGAAGGCTGGCCAGCCAACTCCCCTGTGTCTACAACCCGTCCTCGACTCAAGTCCATTCCATCCAGCGGTCGACCCCACAGACGCATTCATAAATTTTAAAATGCTGGTTATTCAAAATAGGAATTTTCTCAAATATAAATTAATATTATAATATATTAGCATATTGTGCATATATAGGCACTAGTTAGGTTAGGTATTTAGGTTCTGTTGACGATTATTTGTATTTGTAGTACGTGGTGAAGCATTTACAGCGTTGTGGTTCGAACAAAATTCGTCAGTGAAGTGCTTGTTCTGGAAGTGTTCGAAAGTCATGAGTTGTGCAGCCCGTCCTCCAAACAAAGACCCAAAAATGATTTCATGCACCCGCCAAATCCCCTGTTTATGAATGAAAAACGGTTTAGACACGACTCACAATTGATTTCGTTCGAACACTTCCGTTACAGGGGCTTTACTGAACGAATTTTGTTCGAACCACAATGCTATAAATACTTCACCCACGTACTACAAATGCAAATAATCGCCAACCGAACCTAAATACCTAACCTAACCTAACCTATGCCTATATATGCACAATATGCTAATATATTATAATATTAATTTATATTTGAGAAAATTCTTGTTTTGAATGAACAGCAAGTTAAAATTTATGAATGCGTCTGTGGGGGCGACCGCTGGATGTAATGGACTTGAGTCGAGGACGGGTTGCACTATGGTTATGTAACATCACCACCCACCTTGTCCACAACATAGCTGCCATACTGTCTAGTGTACCCATGTTGTTAAGTTAGTTATGCTTAGTAACATCTAGCTACTGTGACTTGCGTCTTGTGATAACTTACTCTACTTATAATTAATTTGTTGCAGTTATGTAAATATTGTATATATATGCTGTGTCGTAAAGATTATTATGTCCCAGTAAACTGCTGGTTTTTAGTTAACTCTCAACGCTACACATTTTTTATTGATTTACCTGAGGCCAGGAGAGTCACTGATTTACCTGAGGCCAGGAGGGTCGCTGATTTACCTGAGGCCAGGAGGGTCACTGATTTACGTGGAGCCAGGAGGGTCACTGATTTACGTGGGGCCAGGAGGGTCACTGATTTACGTGGGGCCAGGAGGGTCACTGATTTACGTGGGGCCAGGAGGGTCACTGATTTACGTGGGGCCAGGAGGGTCACTGATTTACGTGGAGCCAGGAGGGTCACTGATTTACGTGGAGCCAGGAGGGTCACTGATTTACGTGGGGCCAGGAGGGTCACTGATTTACGTGGGGCCAGGAGGGTCGCTGATTTACGTGGGGTTAGGAGGGTCACTGATTTACGTGGGGCCAGGAGGGTCGCTGATTTACGTGGGGCCAGGAGGGTCACTGATTTACGTGGGGCCAGGAGGGTCGCTGATTTACCTGAGGCCAGGAGGGTCGCTGATTTACCTGAGGCCAGGAGGGTCACTGATTTACCTGAGGCCAGGAGGGTCGCTGATTTACCTGAGGCCAGGAGGGTCGCTGATTTACCTGAGGCCAGGAGGGTCACTGATTTACCTGAGGCCAGGAGGGTCGCTGATTTACCTGAAGCCAGGAGGGTCGCTGATTTACGTGGGGCCAGGAGGGTCGCTGATTTACGTGGGGCCAGGAGGGTCACTGATTTACGTGGGGCCAGTAGGGTCGCTGATTTACGTGGGGCCAGGAGGGTCACTGATTTACGTGGGGCCAGGAGGGTCGCTGATTTACCTGAGGCCAGGAGGGTCGCTGATTTACCTGAGGCCAGGAGGGTCACTGATTTACCTGAGGCCAGGAGGGTCGCTGATTTACCTGAAGCCAGGAGGGTCGCTGATTTACGTGGGGCCAGGAGGGTCGCTGATTTACGTGGGGCTAGGAGGGTCACTGATTTACGTGGGGCCAGGAGGGTCGCTGATTTACCTGAGGCCAGGAGGGTCGCTGATTTACCTGAGGCCAGGAGGGTCACTGATTTACCTGAGGCCAGGAGGGTCACTGATTTACCTGAGGCCAGGAGGGTCACTGATTTACCTGAGGCCAGGAGGGTCGCTGATTTACCTGAGGCCAGGAGGGTCGCTGATTTACCTGAGGCCAGGAGGGTCGCTGATTTACGTGGGGCTAGGAGGGTCGCTGATTTACGTGGGGCCAGGAGGGTCGCTGATTTACGTGGGGCCAGGAGGGTCACTGATTTACGTGGAGCCAGGAGGGTCACTGATTTACCTGAGGCCAGGAGGGTCGCTGATTTACCTGAGGCCAGGAGGGTCACTGATTTACGTGGAGCCAGGAGGGTCACTGATTTACCTGAGGCCAGGAGGGTCGCTGATTTACCTGAGGCCAGGAGGGTCGCTGATTTACGTGGGGCCAGGAGGGTCACTGATTTACGTGGAGCCAGGAGGGTCACTGATTTACCTGAGGCCAGGAGGGTCACTGATTTACCTGAGGCCAGGAGGGTCGCTGATTTACCTGAGGCCAGGAGGGTCACTGATTTACCTGAGGCCAGGAGGGTCACTGATTTACCTGAGGCCAGGAGGGTCACTGATTTACCTGAGGCCAGGAGGGTCGCTGATTTACCTGAGGCCAGGAGGGTCACTGATTTACCTGAGGCCAGGAGGGTCGCTGATTTACCTGAGGCCAGGAGGGTCACTGATTTACCTGAGGCCAGGAGGGTCACTGATTTACCTGAGGCCAGGAGGGTCGCTGATTTACCTGAGGCCAGGAGGGTCACTGATTTACGTGGGGCCAGGAGGGTCGCTGATTTACCTGAGGCCAGGAGGGTCGCTGATTTACCTGAGGCCAGGAGGGTCACTGATTTACCTGAGGCCAGGAGGGTCACTAATTTACCTGAAGCCAGGAGGATCACTGATTTACGTGGAGCCAGGAGGGTCACTGATTTACCTGAGGCCAGGAGGGTCACTGATTTACGTGGGGCAAGGAGTGTCACTGATTAACGTGGGGCCAGGAGGGTCACTGATTTACCTGAGGCCAGGAGGGTCGTTGATTTACGTGGGGCCAAGAGAGTCACTGATTAAAATAGGAAAAGTTCTACACCACTTATTATGTTGGGTGGCCAGGTTCTGCCATGCTTGCAGAACATGACCTAGTGCATTAATGTGCTTCTGGGGTTGGGTGCTTGTGCGTTTGTGCTTGACTGTTTGTATGCTTGTGCGTTTGTGCTTGACTGTTTGTATGTGTATGTGTATGTTTATGTGTATGTGTATGTTTATGTGTATGTTTATGTGTATGTGTATGCGTTTGTGCTTGACTGTTTGTATGCTTGTGCGTTTGAGTTTGTGTGATTGTGGGCTTGTTCGTTTGTTTGTAAGTTTGTTCGTTTTTGTGCTTGTGATTTTATATGCTTTTTGCACTTATTAATGACTGTGTTGCGCATGAATGATTGTGTTGTTGTGCGTTTTCATGTTCGTGCGTTTGTATGTTTATTTGTTTATGTGTATGTTCGTTTGTGTTATTGAATATTTCTAAGTTTGTGTGGTTGTGAATTTCAGTGCTTATGCGTTTGTGCGCTTGTGTGTTTGTGCTAATGTGTATGTGCATTTGTGTGCTTGTGCGTTTATATATATACTCCCCGCATATACTCTACCTGACTTCTCCCACATGCATCCACCCATCTCCCCCCCCCCCATACAACAACAACAAAAATCTCCCCCCCCCCCACCCCACATCTTCCTTATCTCCCCCACGTATGCACCCTCTCTGTCTCCGCACACACACATACCGTCCATATCACTCCCATCTCTCGCCTCACCCGTCTCGCCACACTGTAATCATTTTCACAATACACCGTCGTCATTGCTGTCATTGCTTCGTGGTATACTCAACAGGGGATTTCGATGTGGATTTAATATATAACTAATTTAAGAATATTCTAAACAAAGTACAGGAACATAGTATACCATACAAATTGAATAGATCGAATATTAATGACCCAAACTGGATTAACAAAGAATTTGAAGAACCTTATAGGTAAAAAGAGAGCTTGGTACAAAAGGATTAAGAATGGGGAAGTCAGTTTAGAACAGGAATTCATACAACTGGTTAGAAATGTTAAAAAAGAGATTAGGAAAGCAAAAAGAAACTATGAAGTTCGCATAGCAGAGCAAGCAAAGTCAAATCCTAAAGGTTTTTTTCAGTTATATCGAACTAAGACTATGGAAAGGATAGGTCCATTAAAAATTGAGACAGGTCAAATAACGGATAATGACAAGGAGATGAGTAGTATTATTATATTTTTAATATTATATATTAATATTTTATATCTGTATATACTAAAGAAGAACTTAACAATATGCCTTCAGCCGAACAAGTCTATGTGGGTGGGGATGAGGACAGGTTGACTAGTTTAGCAGTTACCAGGGAGGATCTAATTAAACAATTCGAAAAACTAAAACCAAACAAATCCCCAGGTCCGGATGAAGTGTTTGCCAGGGTGCTTAAAGAATGCAAAGAGGAGCTTTCCGAGCCACTGTCTACCATATTTAATAAATCAATAGAGTCAGGCAGAGTGCCAGTCATGGAAGGTAGCTAATGTGGTACCAATTTTTAAGAAAGGAGATAGATCACTTGCGTCAAACAATCGGCCAAGTAGCCTAACGTCTATTGTGGGAAAGTTACTTGAATCAATAATTGCAAATACAATTCGTCTCCATCTTGAAAAACATAAATTAATAAATGAGTCGCAACATGGTTTTACAAATGGCCGTTCATGTTTAACAATTTTGCTAACTTTTTATTCCAGCATAGTTGAGGCAGTTGATAATGGTAAGGATTGTGATGTTGTGTACTTTAGCAAAGCTTTTGATACAGTGCCACATGAAAGACTAATTAAAAAAATAGAAGCTCATGGTATTGGAGGTGCTATATTAAGTTGGATTAGGGCATGGCTATTCCAAAGGAAACAGAGTTAGTATAAATGGGGTTAAGTCAGAGTGGGATAATGTTGTTAGTGGAGTACCTCAGGGCTCTGTCCTGGGACCTCTGTTGTTTATAATATATACAAATGATTTAGATTCAGGTTTGAGTAGCAAAATCTGCAAATTTGCAGATGATACAAAAATCGGTAGGGAAATTAACACGAAAGAAGACTCGCTATCACTTCAAGTTGATCTAAATAGGGTTTTAAAATGGTCAAAAGACTGGCAGATGCAGTTTAATGCTAATAAATGTAGAGTTTTGAGGCTAGGTAATGATGATAGAGTTACAAGATACGAGCTAGATGGTGTTGAGATTGCGAAGTCGGAAAGCGAAAGGGATCTGGGAGTTATGATTAGTAAGAATTTAAAACAAAAAGATCAATGCATGAATGTTCGTAATAAGGCGAATAGGACACAGGGATTTATTAATCGAAGCGTTAGTAACAAGACACCTGGTGTGGTTCTTCAGCTATATCTTGCTCTGGTTAAGCCCCATTTAGATTATGCAGTCCAGTTTTGGTCGCCGTACTATAGAATGGATATAAATTCACTTGAACGTGTCCAGCGTAGGATGACTAAGTTAATTCCCCAAATTAGAAATCTTTCATATGAAGAAAGATTAACAAAGCTTAAGTTGCATTCACTGGAAAGGCGAAGAGTTAGGGGTGACATGATAGGTTTACAAGTGGATGAATGGATATAACAAAGGGGATATTAATAGGGTATTAAAATTATCAACACAATACAGAACACGAAACAATGGGTATAAATTGGATAAGTTTAGATTTAGGAAAGACTTGGGTAAATACTGGTTCAGTAACAGGGTTGTTGATTTGTGGAACCAATTACCGCGTAACGTGCTGGAGGTGGGGTCCCTCGATTGTTTCAAGCGCGGGTTGGACATGTATATGAGTGGGATTGGGTGGTTATAGATAGGAGCTGCCTCGTATGGGCCAATAGGCCTTCTGCAGTTACCTTTGTTCTTATGTTCTATATCTTCGTCTCCTCCCACAAATACTCCCCCCCCCCTTATCACTGTAACCGAAAGGTTGTGCGAATTTATCATGTAAATATTGGCTTTCCCGTCAGTATCTGAAAACACCAATGTGTAAATGTTAAACTTTGTGGTGGAGTTTGGAGAGCACAGTTCATATTCACTTGCTCGTACAAGGGGGGAGGGGTATGGGGCCCGCCCTTGGCTTGGCTTCCCCCCACCCCCCCCACCGGGACACTCTCAATACAATTACCAGGAAATCTGGAAAAGTTTAAATAAGCTTCCTCAAAGTCTCTGATCTTCCTCCTCGGAAACAGAGAACTGACGTTCTCTTTTAAAGATTAGAATGTTCGTCACTTGAGAAGAAAGTTTAAAAAATGTTATATACTTTCTTAAATTTTTGGCAATACGTTTTTGGAGTTTAAAAAATGTCAGTATCAATTAAATTACAAAACAATTAAACCTAATCAAAAGTATACAAAAACAAAATGTATAAATTATTTAAAAATATACCATAAAAAGTTCTAACTGCGTACTACCAGAAGGCGAATCTAGTTAGTGTAGAAGGGAGTGCAGGGGGGACTCCGTTGTTGCTCTACTCTAGTGTCATTGTAGCGATGTGAGTTGTTGCCATGATGTAAAGGTGTAGTCTAAAACAACTGATAGTGGGTGAAGTGAAATTACTCATAAGGGTCACTCATAATGACATCCACTACAGAGATGTGCACAAATGCTCACAGCTGAGGTGTTTACGGTAGCCCGAGACGTTCCCAGCGTAATCTACGCGATGTTCCAACATTCAAATAGGTAAACAAGACGAAACAGGTGATCAAGGAGTAAAGGATCTTTAAGTTTTAAAGAGATTTCAGTAGTATTAGTTAACACAAACTGATAGCTCCTTAAACAAAAAAATAAATGTTTCAGAATATTACGAATTTTTTTTCAATATGTACGTTTATAATAAATATATAAGAAAATTATATATAATGAATATCTGTAGAAAGTGTTTATTTTAAGAGGTAGGTAATAATTTTTTGTTTAAGAATTTTCTCAAAATGTTGTGAAATATTTTGCTTGAAACAGAATTAGATTAAAACAAAATCGGGCAAGAAATTAATTTGTAGTCAAATTAATTTCTTAAAATTAATAGTGTGTTGGAGACTGTTGTAGTGTGTGTTGGAGACTGTTGTAGAGTGTGTTGGAGACTGTTGTAGAGTGTGTTGGAGTCTGTTGTAGTGTCTGTTGTAGTGTGTGTTGGAGACTGTGTTAGTGTGTGTTGGAGACTGTTGTAATGTGTGCTGGAGACTGTTGTAGTGTGTGTTGGAGACTGTTGTAGTGTGTGTTGGAGACTGTTGTAGTGTGTGTTGGAGACTGTTGTAGTGTGTGTTGGAGACTGTTGTAGTGTGTGCTGGAGACTGTTGTAGTGTGTGCTGGAGACTGTTGTAGTGTGTGCTGGAGACTGTTGTAGTGTGTGCTGGAGACTGTTGTAGAGTGTGTTGGAGACTGTTGAAGAGTGTATTGGAGACTGTTGAAGAGTGTGTTGGAGACTGTTGTAGTGTGTGTTGGAGACTGTTGTAGAGTGTGCTGGAGACTGTTGTAGTGTGTGTTGGAGACTGTTGTAGTGTGTGTTGGAGACTGTTGTAGAGTGTGCTGGAGACTGTTGTAGTGTGTGTTGGAGACTGTTGTAGTGTGTGTTGGAAGCTGTGTTAGCAACTTTGTTAGAGAGTGTGTTAGGCAGAGTGTGGTAGGCGGTGAGGGAGGCGAGGTTACCTGGAGGAGAGGGCCGGGCGTGTGGGTAGTCTGGTAGTCTCCTTATCACTGAGGCGGCGGCTCTTCTGCCTCCGATCATATAGCGTCCCACAGCTGGGTGTACCTCCTGCCCCCCTGGTGAATATCCCAGTTATACGGGTGTGAGACGTCCCCGGGGGCAGGGTGCAGGGGGTGAGACGTCCCCGGGGCAGGGTGCAGGGGGGTGAGACGTCCCCGGGGCAGGGTGCAGGGGGTGAGACGTCCCCGGGGCAGGGTGCAGGGGGGTGAGACGTCCCCGGGGCAGGGTGCAGGGGGTGAGACGTCCCCGGGGCAGGGTGCAGGGGGGTGAGACGTCCCCGGGGGGGGTGCAGGGTGCAGGGGGTGAGACGTCCCCGGGGCAGGGTGCAGGGGGGAGACGTGAGACGTCCCCGGGGCAGGGTGCAGGGGGTGAGACGTCCCCGGGGCAGGGTGCAGGGGGGTGAGACGTCCCCGGGGCAGGGTGCAGGGGGTGAGACGTCCCCGGGGCAGGGTGCAGGGGGGTGAGACGTCCCCGGGGCAGGGTGCAGGGGGTGAGACGTCCCCGGGGCAGGGTGCAGGGGGGTGAGACGTCCCCGGGGCAGGGTGCAGGGGGTGAGACGTCCCCGGGGCAGGGTGCAGGGGGGTGAGACGTCCCCGGGGCAGGGTGCAGGGGGGTGAGACGTCCCCGGGGCAGGGTGCAGGGGGTGAGACGTCCCCGGGGCAGGGTGCAGGGGGGTGAGACGTCCCCGGGGCAGGGTGCAGGGGGTGAGACGTCCCCGGGGCAGGGTGCAGGGGGTGAGACGTCCCCGGGGCAGGGTGCAGGGGGTGAGACGTCCCCGGGGCAGGGTGCAGGGGGTGAGACGTCCCCGGGGCAGGGTGCAGGGGGTGAGACGTCCCCGGGGCAGGGTGCAGGGGGTGAGACGTCCCCGGGGCAGGGTGCAGGGGGTGAGACGTGAGACGTCCCCGGGGCAGGGTGCAGGGGGTGAGACGTCCCCGGGGCAGGGTGCAGGGGGTGAGACGTCCCCGGGGCAGGGTGCAGGGGGTGAGACGTCCCCGGGGCAGGGTGCAGGGGGGTGAGACGTCCCCGGGGGGTGCAGGGTGCAGGGGGGGGGTGAGACGTCCCCGGGGCAGGGTGCAGGGGGTGAGACGTCCCCGGGGCAGGGTGCAGGGGGGTGAGACGTCCCCGGGGCAGGGTGCAGGGGGTGAGACGTCCCCGGGGCAGGGTGCAGGGGGTGAGACGTCCCCGGGGCAGGGTGCAGGGGGTGAGACGTCCCCGGGGCAGGGTGCAGGGGGGTGAGACGTCCCCGGGGCAGGGTGCAGGGGGGTGAGACGTCCCCGGGGCAGGGTGCAGGGGGTGAGACGTCCCCGGGGCAGGGTGCAGGGGGTGCAGGGGCAGGGGGTGAGACGTCCCCGGGGCAGGGTGCAGGGGGTGAGACGTCCCCGGGGCAGGGTGCAGGGGGTGAGACGTCCCCGGGGCAGGGTGCAGGGGGTGAGACGTCCCCGGGGCAGGGTGCAGGGGGTGAGACGTCCCCGGGGCAGGGTGCAGGGGGTGAGACGTCCCCGGGGCAGGGTGCAGGGGGTGAGACGTCCCCGGGGCAGGGTGCAGGGGGTGAGACGTCCCCGGGGCAGGGTGCAGGGGGTGAGACGTCCCCGGGGCAGGGTGCAGGGGGTGAGACGTCCCCGGGGCAGGGTGCAGGGGGTGAGACGTCCCCGGGGCAGGGTGCAGGGGGTGAGACGTCCCCGGGGCAGGGTGCAGGGGGTGAGACGTCCCCGGGGCAGGGTGCAGGGGGTGAGACGTCCCCGGGGCAGGGTGCAGGGGGTGAGACGTCCCCGGGGCAGGGTGCAGGGGGTGAGACGTCCCCGGGGCAGGGTGCAGGGGGTGAGACGTCCCCGGGGCAGGGTGCAGGGGGTGAGACGTCCCCGGGCAGGGTGCAGGGGGTGAGACGTCCCCGGGGCAGGGTGCAGGGGTGTGAGACGTCCCCGGGGCAGGGTGCAGGGGGTGAGACGTCCCCGGGGCAGGGTGCAGGGGGTGAGACGTCCCCGGGGCAGGGTGCAGGGGGTGAGACGACCCCGGGGCAGGGTGCAGGGGGTGAGACGTCCCCGGGGCAGGGTGCAGGGGGTGAGACGTCCCCGGGGCAGGGTGCAGGGGTGTGAGACGAGGGTGCCCCGGGGCAGGGTGCAGGGGGTGAGACGTGCAGGGGGTGAGACGTCCCCGGGGCAGGGTGCAGGGGTGTGAGACGACCCCGGGGCAGGGTGCAGGGGGTGAGACGTCCCCGGGGCAGGGTGCAGGGGGTGAGACGTCCCCGGGGCAGGGTGCAGGGGTGTGAGACGACCCCGGGGCAGGGTGCAGGGGGTGAGACGTCCCCGGGGCAGGGTGCAGGGGGTGAGACGTCCCCGGGGCAGGGTGCAGGGGGTGAGACGTCCCCGGGGCAGGGTGCAGGGGGTGAGACGTCCCCGGGGCAGGGTGCAGGGGGTGAGACGTCCCCGGGGCAGGGTGCAGGGGTGTGAGACGTCCCCGGGGCAGGGTGCAGGGGGTGAGACGTCCCCGGGGCAGGGTGCAGGGGGTGAGACGTCCCCGGGGCAGGGTGCAGGGGGTGAGACGTCCCCGGGGCAGGGTGCAGGGGGTGAGACGTCCCCGGGGCAGGGTGCAGGGGGTGAGACGTCCCCGGGGCAGGGTGCAGGGGGTGAGACGTCCCCGGGGCAGGGTGCAGGGGGTGAGACGTCCCCGGGGCAGGGTGCAGGGGGTGAGACGTCCCCGGGGCAGGGTGCAGGGGTAAGACGACCCCGGGGCAGGGTGCAGGGGGTGAGACGTCCCCGGGGCAGGGTGCAGGGGGTGAGACGTCCCCGGGGCAGGGTGCAGGGGGTTAGACGTCCCCGGGGCAGGGTGCAGGGGTAAGACGACCCCGGGGCAGGGTGCAGGGGTGAGACGTCCCCGGGGCAGGGTGCAGGGGGTGAGACGTCCCCGGGGCAGGGTGCAGGGGGTGAGACGTCCCCGGGGCAGGGTGCAGGGGGTTAGAAGTCCCCGGGGCAGGGTACAGGGGGTGAGACGTCCCCGGGGCAGGGTGCAGGGGGTGAGACGTCCCCGGGGCAGGGTGCAGGGGGTTAGACGTCCCCGGGGCAGGGTGCAGGGGTGTGAGACGACCCCGGGGCAGGGTGCAGGGGGTGAGACGTCCCCGGGGCAGGGTGCAGGGGGTGAGACGTCCCCGGGGCAGGGTGCAGGGGTTAGACGTCCCCGGGGCAGGGTGCAGGGGTACGACCCCGGGGCAGGGTGCAGGGGGTGAGACGTCCCCGGGGCAGGGTGCAGGGGGTGAGACGTCCCCGGGGCAGGGTGCAGGGGGTTAGACGTCCCCGGGCAGGGTGCAGGGGTAAGACGACCCCGGGGCAGGGTGCAGGGGGGTGAGACGTCCCCGGGGCAGGGTGCAGGGGGTGAGACGACGTCCCCGGGGCAGGGTGCAGGGGGTGAGACGTCCCCGGGGCAGGGTGCAGGGGGGTGAGACGTCCCCGGGGCAGGGTGCAGGGGTAGACGTCCCCGGGGCAGGGTGCAGGGGGTGAGACGTCCCCGGGGCAGGGTGCAGGGGGTGAGACGTCCCCGGGGCAGGGTGCAGGGGTGTGAGACGTCCCCGGGGCAGGGTGCAGACGTCCCCGGGGCAGGGTGCAGGGGGGTGAGACGTCCCCGGGGCAGGGTGCGGGGTGAGACGTCCCCGGGGCAGGGTGCAGGGGTAAGACGTCCCCGGGGCAGGGTGCAGGGGGGTGAGACGTCCCCGGGGCAGGGTGCAGGGGTAAGACGTCCCCGGGGCAGGGTGCAGGGGTAAGACGTCCCCGGGGCAGGGTGCAGGGGGGTGAGACGTCCCCGGGGCAGGGTGCAGGGGGGTAAGACGTCCCCGGGCAGGGTGCAGGGGTAAGACGTCCCCGGGGCAGGGTGCAGGGGGGTGGGTCCCCGGGGCAGGGTGCAGGGGGGTGAGACGTCCCCGGGGCAGGGTGCAGGGGGGTAAGACGTCCCCGGGGCAGGGTGCAGGGGTAAGACGTCCCCGGGGCAGACGTCCCCGGGGCAGGGTGCAGGGGGGTGAGACGTCCCCGGGGCAGGGTGCAGGGGGGTGAGACGTTGAGACGTCCCCGGGGCAGGGTGCAGGGGGGTGAGACGTCCCCGGGGCAGGGTGCAGGGGTAAGACGTCCCCGGGGCAGGGTGCAGGGGGTGAGACGTCCCCGGGGCAGGGTGCAGGGGGTGAGACGTCCCCGGGGCAGGGTGCAGGGTGCAGGGGTAAGACGTCCCCCCGGGGCAGGGTGCAGGGGGTGAGACGTCCCCGGGCAGGGTGCAGGGGGGTGAGACGTCCCCGGGGCAGGGTGCAGGGGTAAGACGTCCCCGGGGCAGGGTGCAGGGGGGTGAGACGTCCCCGGGGCAGGGTGCAGGGGGGTGAGACGTCCCCGGGCAGGGTGCAGGGGTAAGACGGACGTCCCCGGGGCAGGGTGCAGGGGGTGAGACGTCCCCGGGGCAGGGTGCAGGGGGGTGAGACGTCCCCGGGGCAGGGTGCAGGGGTAACGACCCCGGGGCAGGGTGCAGGGGGTGAGACGTCCCCGGGGCAGGGTGCAGGGGGAGAGTGAGACGTCCCCGGGCAGGGTGCAGGGGGGTGAGACGTCCCCGGGGCAGGGTGCAGGGGTAAGACGTCCCCGGGGCAGGGTGCAGGGGGGTAAGACGTCCCCGGGGCAGGGTGCAGGGGGGTAGACGTCCCCGGGGCAGGGTGCAGGGGTAAGACCCCCGGGGCAGGGTGCAGGGGGGTAAGACGTCCCCGGGGCAGGGTGGGTGCAGGGGGGTGAGACGTCCCCGGGCAGGGTGCAGGGGGGTGAGACGTCCCCGGGGCAGGGTGCAGGGGTAAGACGTCCCCGGGGCAGGGTGCAGGGGTAAGACGTCCCCGGGGCAGGGTGCAGGGGTGAGACGTCCCCGGGGCAGGGTGCAGGGGGGTGAGACGTCCCCGGGCAGGGTGCAGGGGGTGAGACGTCCCCGAGGCAGGGTGCAGGGGGGTGAGACGTCCCTGGGGGTAGGGTGCAGGGGGTGAGAGTGTGTAAGACGTAACCGCGACAGGGGTGCAGGGGGTGCTAGGGTGGAAGTCGTCTCCGGGGCAG